TAAAGAACAGAGAGCCTTTTTCATCTGACTTTCAAGTTCAGAGATTGAAAGCGTGAAGCACCATTGCTTCCTTAAAGATGGAGAGTACCATGGGGACTGAATGGTCCCCACTGACATCCAGCAAGGAAATAGTTATCTTGGGCTAACAGCTACAAGGAGCTGAATTTTGTAGACAAAAACAGTCAGCTTAAAAATGGATTTATCAGCCGGGCGTGGTGGCTCATGCCTGTAATCCCAGCACTTGGGAGGCTGAGGCAGGAGGATCGTTGCGAGTTCGAGACCAGCCTGGGCTACAAAGTGAGCCCAAGGTCAGCATGAACTGCATAGTGAGAACCTATCATTAAAAAAAAAAAAAAAGAATTTATCCCCAGAAGCCACAGAAGTGATATTGGCTATTTTAACCTGGTGTTATCTTGAGAAGACAACCTTGCCATGTCATGTGGATTTCTGAGTTAATAAATGAGTGTTATTTAAGCTGCTACATTTGTGATAATTAAACACAAGTAATAGCAAGTTAATATACTATTCATTGTTCACATAAGACTGGAAGTATTATATGTTCCCAATAGCCAGAGTGGAAAACCTCATAAGGTGTTACAGTAGTGACAGTCCTCGCCTCATTATGGGGAAAAGCAGCTCTAATACTACTTGCAAGTAACTTAAACACATAGTAGAACAAAGCTCAATAATATTTATAGAAATAACAAATGCTTAATACCAAAGCAAGATAATCTGTGATAGGTCTAACATCTGATCAAAAACTACCAGGTATGCAAAGAAGCAAGAAAGTACAACCAGAAACATGTACTACTGCATTTAAAAACTTAAAAGGTCAGTGGTAGAGTACCAGGATACATGTGGCCCTGCATTCAGTCCCCAGGACCAAATAAATAAACACCTCTACTGAACCTGTGCAAGCTATTTTTCTTGAAATTATTCCCTAAGAAATACAGTACAAGAACTATTAAGATAGCACTTACATTGTGCAAGGTGTTGTATTCATCTAAAAGTGATTTAAAGAGCTGAGTGTGGTGGTGCATGCCTGTAACTCCAGCACTTGCAGGGCTGAGGCAGGAAGATCATTGTGAGTTTGAGGCCAGCCTGAATTACAGAGCAAGACTCTATCTCAAAAAACAAAACAAAACAAAATGATCAAACTAGTAACTTAAAATATACAGGAGGAGGGCTGGGGACTTAGCAGCATAAGCACCTGCCTGGCAAGTGTGAGGCCATGAGTTCAACCCCCGGTACAGAAAAAAAAGAAAATGAGGATTATAAATGATGTGCAAACAGAATGATGTTTTACATTTTACATTAAAGACTGAGGATTTAGCTCAGTGGCTTAAGTACCTGCCTTGCAAGCAGGTACTCATGAGTTTGATCCCTGGTACCAATTTAAAAAAAAAAAAAAAAAAAAAAAAAGACTTAAAGACCTGACCACTTGTGGGTTTTAGCGTCTACAGGATTTCCTGAAGCCCATCCCTCATACATACTGAGACAACTGTATTTCAAGCCCCAGTCTACCTTCAAACAAACAAAATTTACCATTTAAGATACAACTCAGAATCTTTTAACAGTACCCTGAGGCTGGGGATTTAGCTCAGCGGCATAAGCGCCTGCCTTGCAAGCAGACAGTCGTGAGTTTGATCCCTGGTACCAATAAAAAAGAAAAAGACAAAAAAAATATAAAAAAACAGTACCCTGGCACTGTTATCTTAGGCTACCATAACAAAATACCACAGAGCAGTGATGGCAAACCTTTTAGAGCTTTTAGTAATACAACGGCCTGTGGCACGTGTGCTGCAGGTTCTCCACCACTGCTCAAGACCTGCAGCTTAAATGCAGGAAGTTTCTCACCTTTTGGAGGTGGGAAGGTCAGATCAACGTGCCGGCAGTTCAGTCCTTTCTGGTGAGGGTTCTCTTGCTGGCTAGCGGACAGGAACCTCTCAAAGTGCAACCTTTTTGTATACATGTGGAGAGCGAGAACAAGCCTTCTGGATCTCTACCTAATCCTGAAGTGATAGCTCCACCCTTATGACCTCATCCTAATTATCCCAAAGGCCACACCTCCATATACTGCCATATCAACATGAATTTACATATAATTTTTAGAGTGACTTAACACATGTTTTTCAAAGTCTTATATTTGTCAGTATTTACAATGAGTACCATTTACCATTCTTAAAGATCTTCATTTCTATGGGGCTAGGGATATAGCTCAGCAGCACAAGTGCCTGCCTCCTAAGTGCCATGTCTTGAGTTTGATCCTTGGTTACCCCACACACACACAAAAAAAGATCATTTCTATGTGTAAATCCTGTTTCTGTCAGGTATTATATGTCTTCTGTCTGAAGAACTCTATAACAATTTTTGTAATGTGGATTTGATGTGGATTTCCATTGTTTTTATTATTTATCCTTTCTTGGTGCCAGCTCAGTGGTACAGCACCTGCCTGGCAAGCACAAGATCCTGAGTTCAATTCCTGGCACAAAAAGAAAAAAAAGAAAAAAAAACACCTATCTTTCTTTTTTGAAAGATTTGGGGCTGAGGATTTAGCTCAGTGGCTCAAGTGCTTGCCTGGTAAGCATGAGGTCATGAGTTTGATCCCCAGTATAAAAAAAAAAAGAAAAGAAAGATTCGTGCTAGGCATGGTTGTAAATGGGCTTTCCCTTCAGCACAATTGGGATGCTGTCTTCTGACTTGATAGTTTCTGATGGTGTGTCTGCACAAATTCTTAGACTTCTTTTCTAGATATTATTTGTCCTTTTCCTTCTCGCTTTTAGTTCTCGCTAAGATTTTCTCCTTTGTGTTTAACAATTTGAATATGATGTATCTAAATGGTATTTCTTTAAATATCTTACTAGGGTTTCAGGGTGGGTTGGGTTGGGTCGGGTTGGTTTTGCAGTGCTGGGGATTGAACCCTGGACCTCACACATGTTAGGCAAGTGCTCTGTCCCAGTCTTAGACTGGGTAATTTCTGTTGTTGCTCTCAGGGTTGCTGATCTTTCCTCAGCTGAGTTGGATCTACTGATGAACAAGTCAAAGGCATTCTTTTTTCTTATCAGTGCTTGTTATGGTCTGTGTCTCGATGTCCCCTTCAAAGCCTCATGTAGGCATGAGGGCAGGCTTCTAGAATCTGATTGTTCATGGTCCAGCGCTAGAATTGTGGGTGTGCGTGCCAGGTGGGTGTGGCCTGCACACACTGTGAGGGACGGGAAGAGCCTTCTCTCCACATGCCTCCCTCTTTGCTTGTACTGCTTTTGCCGTTTTCCACTGCCATCAGCAGCTGCCCTTGTGCCGTGTCACCCGGCCTTGGAGCTGGCTAGTTATGGCCTGAAACCTCCACAAACTGAGCTAAATAAACCTTTCCTTCCTTAATTTTGGGTGTTGAGTATTTTGTCCCAACAACAACAGAAAAGTAACCAAGACATTGCTTTGTTTTATATCTAGTGTTTCAGTTGGACCCTTCCTAACAGTTTTTCATCTCAGTAAATGGCCTGTGCGTCTGGAAATGTAGCCTCTCTGCTGGGCGGTTGATATGTAGACATTAATCAGTCCCGTCCAGAGCTGGGCTGGATTTGGATTTTGTTGTTGTAATTACTTTGTGTGAGTTGCCAAGACCAGAGTCCAGTTTCTCTAGCAGTTTCCTATACTTACTGGCCTCCTTGCAGGCTGCTGTTGCAGGACTTGCTGGCTTCAGAAAGTGGGAGGCAAGCAGAGCTGTGCTGTTCTGGCCCATCTTTACTCAGCACATGCCGTGTCACTGGGTTTCAGGGCCAAGACCTCCTCTGTGCACCTGGTCTTTTCCTGTCGTGGCAGACCTCTGAGTGGATCCTTGATTGTTTCCTGAGGTAGAAGATGTTTTGCTTTTCTTTCAGCCACAGTGACTGTTAGCAGTGCATCCAGGATGACAAATTTGTTTTCCTCCCTAGTGATTTCCAGTTTCTGTTCCGTAGAGTAGGGGCCAGGCAAGTGTCTGTCTTCCCCTCCTGCAGCCTCAGCCCTCCAAGGGAGGAAGCTCTATGGAGAAGAGCCTGATGTTTGTGGCTCCCAACACCACAGCTGTCTTCAAGGAAGTCTTTGTGTGGCATCTTCAGTCTTGATGGCTATCTCTGAGATATTAAGCCCGCTGTCCTCAGCAACCTCAATCCCACCCACACAGTCCATAGAATCTGTGGCTCGATTCCAGAAGTCTCTCCACTCTGGTCTTTCTGTCACACTGTGCCCTTACAGGCCTCTCTCTAGCCTGAAGTTGGCAGCATGCTCCCACCTCATTCCTTTGTGTCTCCTGCCCCCAGTGCAGGCTCCACATGAAGTTACTTTCTTTTTTTTTTTTTTTTTTTTGTCTTTTTTCCTTTTTATTGGTACCGGGGATCGAACCCACGACTGCCTGCTTACAAGACAGGTGCTTATGCCACTGAGCTAAACCTCCAGCCCATGAAGTTACTTTCACAAAGAGATCACAGCAACATTCCTCATGTTCCGACCCATTGGCCCCAGGATGGCATCTCTGGTCTGCTTGCACATGCTCAGACTGTCCCTGCACAGACCAGGCTTCACTGCTCATATGCTGCTCGGTAGTGCTCTGCTAATCTTGCCTGGTCCCGTGTTTGCTGCTGTTCCACATGGCCTCTTGGAGCTCAGTGCCCATGGCACAGCTCCAGAGAGGGCTCTGGGCTGTGTCTCCTTTGCCATGTGCCTGTCAGCAGAGGAGCATCAGCTCAGACCGCAAATGACCCCTTCCTCTCCAACCTCCTGTTAGGTTTTTGTTTTTGTTTTTTTTTTTTTTTGTGGCACCGGGGATTGAACTCACGACCTCATGCTGTGAGGCAGGCGCTTATGCAGCTGAGCTAAATCCCTGGCCCTCCTGTTAGTCTTGATGCATCCTTGTATGGAAATTCTGTATCTGATCCTCCCCTTACTTGGCAGAGCCAGCTTCAAGACTTTACTGCACAGTTTTGAGTAGTGTTAACATTTTCATTTTGGATTTGTTGTTTCAGAATGCAAAACCAAGGAAGAGGACCTGGACACAGACTTGAGCCTAAAGCCATTAATTTCAGAAGAGGTAAAACCAATTCTGGGGAAAACATCTTTAGGGGAGACTGATCAAGAATATAACACCAAGCGGAACTTCTGCCTAAGTCCAAGCCCTGCTGGCCAACGTGAGGCCCAGAGCTCTAAGGGAAAGGTGGCACTCAGTCAGCACCAGGCAGTTCCTAATGGGGACAGGCCCTTCATATGCATCGAGTGTGGGAAGTGCTTTGGTCGGAGCTCCCATCTCCTTCAGCATCAACGAATCCACACTGGTGAGAAGCCCTATGTGTGCAGTGTATGTGGAAAGGCCTTCAGCCAAAGCTCGGTCCTTAGCAAACACAGGAGAATCCACACTGGGGAGAAGCCCTATGAGTGTAACGAGTGTGGAAAAGCCTTTAGAGTGAGCTCAGACCTCGCTCAGCACCACAAGATCCACACAGGTGAGAAGCCTCATGAGTGCCTGGAGTGTCGGAAAGCCTTTACTCAGCTCTCGCACCTCATTCAGCACCAGCGCATCCATACCGGAGAACGGCCCTACGTGTGCCCGTTGTGTGGGAAGGCCTTCAACCACAGCACGGTCCTAAGGAGCCACCAGAGGGTGCACACCGGGGAGAAACCCCACCAGTGTGGTGAGTGCGGGAAGACCTTCAGCGTGAAGCGGACCCTGCTGCAGCACCAGCGGAGCCACACTGGGGAGAAGCCTTACACGTGCAGCGAGTGCGGCAAAGCCTTCAGTGACCGCTCTGTCCTCATCCAGCACCACAATGTGCACACTGGAGAGAAGCCCTATGAGTGCAGCGAGTGTGGGAAGACCTTCAGCCACCGCTCCACACTGATGAACCACGAGCGCATCCACACAGAGGAGAAGCCGTATGCATGCTATGAATGTGGCAAGGCGTTTGTGCAGCACTCACACCTGATCCAGCATCAGAGGGTCCACACTGGGGAGAAACCCTACGTGTGCAACGAGTGTGGGCACGCCTTTAGTGCACGCCGCTCTCTGATCCAACACGAGCGAATTCACACGGGTGAGAAGCCTTTTCAGTGCACAGAATGTGGGAAGGCCTTTAGCCTGAAGGCAACTCTGATTGTGCACCTGAGGACCCACACAGGCGAGAAGCCTTACGAGTGCAACAGCTGTGGCAAGGCCTTCAGCCAGTACTCCGTGCTCATCCAGCACCAGCGCATCCACACTGGAGAGAAGCCCTATGAGTGTGGCGAGTGTGGGCGTGCCTTCAACCAACACGGGCACCTGATCCAGCACCAGAAAGTACACAGGAAGCTGTGACGCAAGGTGGCCCTCACAGGCACCTGCTTGCATAGAAACCACAAGAGGCACAGGCAGCCTCCTTGCCAGGGTGCTTGTTACCTCTGCAGGACACACTGAGTGATCCAGGACTATGAGCTCCCAAAGAAAGGCACAGGGTGTGGCTGGGGATTTAGCTCAGCGGCATAAGTGCCTGCCTTGCAAGCAGGCAGTCGTGAGTTCGATCCCGGTACCGATAAAAAGGAAAAAGACAAAAAAAAAAAAAAAAAAAAAAAAGGCACAGTGCATAACCCTGGGAAAAGTTTCAGAGACTCTGTTATCTTCAACATCTTGAAGTTACATAGGAGGTAATGGTATATTTGTAGTGAATACTGATAAAGATAGCCATAATTCTTTGTTTCTTTAACATTATTTTAAGTAACTAAGAGAAGTGTAAGGACTGTTGTCTCAAACTTAATTCCAAATAAAGCTCTTTTCCTTAGAATCTGCCTGCCTCTCCTGAATACAATTGACCATCGTAATTATTGTACTTAAACTTAGAATGTACTATTTTCAGTACTCTGTAAAAACACTAAAGTGCTGTATGGATAAAATGGTATTTTAAAAATATTGTCAAGTATCACCATGTGAAATAGCTAAAAATTCTAAGTGCATGGAAATACCTGTTTTGTACTTTTAAAAAAGTTTAAAAATACATTAGTGACAAGTGTCGTAAATTTAGAAAACCCTTTATCTGGTGCTTTAACTTCAGTCAAGGTTAGAAGGAATGTCCTAACACGTCAATAAAAATTCAATTCAAAAATGGGTATTTTCTTGAAAATCTGTCCTTATGACCTATAGCTTCTACACTTCAGAGACGATGGAATCTCTGGAGCCTACAGATCCCCGGCAGGCATAAGACAGTAGTTCACACAAAGTGGTGCCTCTTCACACCTTGTATTTCCAAAAAAATACTAAAGAGAGAATTCTTTGCTGCATACTTTTAAAACAAAATTCTTTTTTTTTTTTTTTTCTTTTTCATTTTTATCAGTACCAGGGATCGAACTCACGACTGTCTGCTTGCAAGGCAGACACTTACGCTGCTGAGCTAAATCCCCAGCCCCTAAAGCAAAATTCTTAAGTCCAGCTCTTTTGACTACTCTTGAGTCTATTCTGAGCCAAGTGTGATGGCTCACACCTGCAATCCAAGCACTTGGGAGGTTGAGGATCACTAGGCTATATAGTTTAAGGCCAACCTGAACTACATAGTGAGACCTTGTCTCAAAAAATCTGCATTTGAGGGGATTTTTTTAAACTTGTGTCAAGAGTCTGGCATACTGTGATGAATCTAGTTTACTCGTAATAAGTTTCTGCCTGGTGTATTGGCGCACATCTGTAACCTTAGCACTTCAGAGGCTGAGGCAGGAAGATCACTGAGTTTGAGGACAAGTCGGCTACACAGTGAATTCAGGACAGCCTGCATTGCATGGCAAGACCCTGTCTCAATGCCCCTCCCATTTATATTTGCTCAAAATTATTTGCTTAGTTTTAAAGGTACAGTCCTTACAGGTGAATTTATACCAGAGACATTTCTAGTAGCAGCCTGCTGCAAAGGAAACAGGTACTGGATTGTATTCGAGCTCTTTCAGAACCTAAACACAAGTGGTTAGAGAATAGTGTTCTCTCTCTAGTCTTAAAAAAGTTCTAGGGCAGTAATGGTGAACCTTTTAGAGCTCTCAGTGATGCTATGGCATGTGCGCCACAGGTTCACCACCACTGCTCTAGGGTGCTGATCTGGAAATCTTAAGTGATACACCAGGGTGGAGGCAAAACGTATTTCACCCTCTCTGCAGGTGCTGGTAAAAGATGACAACACTGAGGTATTAGCTTCAGAGAAAACCAATCACTGATGTGCTGAAAAAGGAGCTTTACTTCACAGAAGGCAAAAGAATGCTGAGTGCGACTTTGAGAAGAGCTGAGATTAGAAGTGTCACTGAAAAGAAAACGAGGTCACTGGTGTTGCTTCTGAGAGGAACGGACATCACTAGTGTGCTGAGTTTAAATAACTGAAGGGGAAATCCAAGAGAACTAGGGCTGCTGAGGAGACTTCAGAATCTGAGCTCACTAAGGTGAAGCTCCAGAGAAATAAAATTACTGACAAATGGCTCTCGGGTGTTACCTAGGAGCAGCGATCACAGAGACTGCTTAAGAGAGAAAGCTGAGATCAATGATACATTACTGAAAAGAGCTGAGGCCACTGCAGTGTTACTTTGGAGTCAAGATGTGATCACGTGGGTGTTTTTTCAGAGAGATCGATAAGGTAAAATACACAAAGCTAAGCTCACGGAGGCCTACTTAAATGCAGCTGAGCTTGCCAAGTTGGTTCCTCAGAGAAATCACTGGAGAGCCTGAGGTCACTGGGACATTGTTTTAGGAAGGAAATGAAACCACTGTGTGTTATAAAGTGCCAATGGAGTAAACCTGCCAACCATGTCTAATTGAGTCCACCATCCTCATCTATGGCTATGGCTCAGACCCCACTGCGATTCAGAACACTATTTCTAATCACGTAAAACAAGTCACGTTCCAATCAGGGTAGCAGGGTAATTTTAATTAAATTTACTGTACTGGAATATTTACTTACAATGTATTTATCGTAAGGTAATTGAAATCACATAGTACAAAGGTGTTGGATTGCTAAATTGTCCAACAGGTTTTCAGGGAACTTTCCAAAATGTGCAGCTGCACTGCCTGCCCTCTAAGACACGGTGCCTCGTTCCTCCTGCTTGTTCTTGCTGTGTCAGACTGCATTTGACCCACTGGTGAGCCTGCAGGCTCAGTCCTCTAGAGCTAGAAAGTGGGCATCGGTGCCTCTCTCCTGGGCAGGATTCCCGAGCTCCATATTCTTGCCACTAACTTCCTCCTCTCCTAGAAGCAGGGGGAAGCACATGGCCAACTGGAAACAGGAGCAGTTGGCCCAGGATGTGTGATACTGGAGGCCAGAAATGAGCCTTGGGGCCCCCTTCATGCTGATGATGGCCTCCAGTTCAGTCAAAATCATTGCAATCTTAGTTTGGAAAATTTATTTTTTTACTCAGAAATCTTTGTTAATATTTAAATGTTCATATTATCTCTTTAAATGGCTATCAATAATTTTTTAATATCAAGAATTTGAGTTTGATCCCTAGTACAAAAAAATTTTTGATATACTGTCTTTAGATTTTCTTATTTGGGAAACTATTTTAGTTCATCTGGCATTCATTTATTTTGTTAATTTAGTCTATTTTATATAATCTGAAATTTTCAATAAAAAGCAAAGGCTGTAACAAGTATTTGGGATGGAAAGATCAGTACCTTTGTTTTTGTTCATTTGTTTTTTTGTGTTTTTGAAACAGGGTTTCACTGTACAGTTCAGGCCAGCCTAGAACTCACTTTGTAGCCTAGGCTGGCCTCGAACTCGCAGCAACCTTCCTGCCTCAGCCTCCCGAGTGCTGGGATTACAGCATACCCATTAACTTTGGCATAAAGATCTTACACATCAGGGGGGCCAGGGATTCAGCTTAGCAGCTCAGGTACTTGCCTGGTAAGTGTGAAATCATGAGTTTAATCACTAGTTCCAAAGGGGAAAAAAAAAAGATGTTATGCAACAGTGACCACAGGACATGAGCAAGCAATTCCAAATCAAGAAAAAGACCACTGAAGCTCAGAAAAGGCTCAGGTGCCAATCGCAAAACAAATGAACTATGTCAGCTCCTCCTATAGAAGTGGTGTGAAGGATGATGACAGCCTAGAAGGGCTCAGCTGGGCAGGCACCAAACAGTCCCAAGGAATAAAGGATACTCCTAGAAGACAGGCTGGGGAACTCAGGCCACAGAGGCCACTCAGCACAAACCAGCTGGTGGTAGAGGCCAGAAGGGTCTTGTCTGGAAGTTGGATTTACCCTGGGGCACAGACCAACCTTTTGAGCAGTACTGATCAGCACATGGTCTGGGGACTATATCTTGGCCCACTTAACACAAATTTGGGGAGCACTTAAGGTTTTATGCTTATAAATTCCTGATCTGAGAAACTAGGTGACAGTATGAAGTTCATGGGTCCCAAAACTACCTTCACTACAGGACTAGTCACAAGTTTGGGTATCCCCCAAATCACCCTCAGGTTCAATAATTTGCTAATGTAGCCTGGGCTACAGAGCAAGATTGTCTCAAAAAAAAGTGCTGTAAGAGAAAGATTAAGGAACCAAAATGGAAAAATAAAAAGCAGATAGGAATAAATCCTTTATCAGTAAGCATTTAAAATGTAAGTAGATTAAATTATCCTTTTGAAAGGCAGATATTGATAGACTGGGTTAAAAAATCAGGATCTAACTATATGCTGTCTATGAATGCCTCTCTTCAGATACAAGGACACAAAGAAGTTGAAAGTAAAAGGATGAAAAAAATTTCACATAAACAGCAATCAGAAGCAAGATAGAATGGCTATATTCAGATAGACATTAAAACAAAATATAAGACAGTACATTATACATTGATACATTTGATACAGCAAGAGGATACAATTGTACGCATATGCAACCCTAACAACAGAGATCTAAAATACATAAGGTAAAAATGGTACATCTAAGATGATGGACAGCTTTATAGTAACAGTTGGACTTTTCAGTAACAAATAAGAGAGCTGAGATATAGCTCAGTAGTAGAGTGCTTGCCTAGCATACACAAGACCCTGAGTTCAATCCTCAGTACCAGAAAAAAAAAAAAAAACTACTTGAATAGAAAATCAACAATGACATTTAAATTTAATTAAAATCTTGAAAAACTATAAAACCAGAATCCTCCACCCAAAAGAGCAAAATACACATTTTAGCATATATAGTACAAAATGTTCTCCAAATTAGACCATATGATAGGCCACAAAATAAGTGTTAATAGCTGAGCATAATGGCACTTGTAATCCTGGTACTCTGGGAAGCTAAGACAGGAGAATTGTGAGTTCAAGACCAGCCAGGGCAACTTAGCAAACCTCTACCTCCAAATAAAAATTTTAAAAAGCTTAGGGATGTAGCCCAGTGTAACAACATTGGATTTAATCTCCAGTGTGGCCCCCTCAAAGTCTTAGTAAATACAGAAGAATTTAAAGTATCTTTTTTTTTTTTTTGTCTTTTTCCTTTTTATCGGTACCAGAGATCGAACTCACAACTGCCTGCTTGCAAGGCAGGCGCTTATGCTGCTGAGCTAAACCCCCAGCCCCTAAAGTATCTTTTTTGATCACTGCAATAAGGCTAGAAATCAATATAAAGAAAATTAAAAATCGAAGCAACATACTAATATAATGCACAAGTTGAAGAAATGACAAAGGAATATAGAAAATACCTAGTGACAAATATCAATGAAAATACAACATACCAAAATCTAAAGTAATAATGAGGGGAAATTTCATAGCTATAAACAAATACATTAAAAAAGAAGGAAATGCTAAGTGTGGTGACACATGGCTATAATTCCAGCACTTGAGGCTGGAGGGGCACCACGAATTCAAGGCCAGCCTGGGCTACATAGTGAGTTCAAGGTCAGTGTTCAGTACAAAAACAAGACCTTATCTCAAAAAAAAAAAAGTCCAGAACAAGACCAGGACACCCAGTTTTGCTACTTCTACAGTGTAGTAAAAGTTTTAGGCAGAGAAGAAAAGCAAGTATCCAAATTGGGACAGAAGTAAAATTATCTCAGGTCACAGATGACATGATCTTATATATGCAGGGAACCCTAAAGGTTGCACACACACCTGCGCGCACGGGAACACACACACATAGAAACCTGTAGCTGGGCGTGGTGACATGCTCATAATTCCAGCATTTAGGAAGCTGAGGCAGGAGAACTGCTATAAATTCAAGGCCAGTCTGAACTAATAGCAAGCCCCTATCTTGAAAAAAAAAATAAATAAATAAATAAATTTTTTTTAAAAAAAAGGAAAGTTATAAGAGCTAAGAAATGAATTCAGCGAAGTTTTCAGGATACAAAATCAAGACATAAAAACTATTCCTACACATTACCACCGAACAATCCATAAAGGAAATTAAGAAAATAATCCCATTCACAATAGCATTCAAATAAATAAAATAGGAATAAATCTAACTGAGGCAAAAGATTAGCTTGTTGGAAGCTACAGAATGCCACTAGATGTTTAAGAACACATAAACAAATGGAAACACACTTTGTGCTCACAGATTGGAAGACCTAATGTTGTTAAGGTGACTATACTATCCAATGGTATTTTTTTTGCAGACACATAAAAATCCATCCTAACTTCATATAAAATCTTGAGGGCACCCAAATAGCCAGAAAACAATCTTGAGAAAGAACAAATCACGCTTGCTGATTTCAAACTTACTACAAAGCTGTAGTAATCAAAATAGTGTGGCTGTGTTAGTTCATTTTGAGTTTCTATAACAAAACACCTGAGGCTAAGTACTTTATTTAAAAGAGATTTATTTACTTAAAAGCATGACACCAACCCACCTCTCAGCTCTAGTGAGGCCCTCATGGCAGAAGGCATCACAGTGGCAGGTGCACACGAAGAAGAATTCAGGGAATGGATGAGGCTCCCTTCTATGAGTTCATTCTCAAGGGAACTAATCCGGCCCACAAGACCTACATTAATCCCTTTCAAAGGCCGCACCCCTTTGGCCTAATCACCTTCCACTAAACCCCTATTAAAGGCTCTAGATTCACCTCAACATTGACACATTGTATTCTAGGCCTCCAACATGAACATCTCAGTAACAAACACAACTAAAGCTTAACATTCCTCCTGGCCCCCAAGGAGGAAATGTCCTCCTTAGCCCCAACCCCGTTAATCCCAAGGTTTTAACTCATTCCAGCACTGCTCAAAGTTCAAGTCTAAAGTCTCACTTGAGATTCAAGGTAGACTCCTTCCAGCTGTGATCCTGTAAAATTAAAAACAAGTCACATACTTCCAAGATATGATAGTGAAACAAGGAACAGGGTAAACATTTCCAGATGTATGCAACTGAAAGTGCCACAGGCTTCCAAGATCAAAGCAGAGAAAGGCAAACATTTACTCTTAAAAGTTCCAAATCAGACATCCTGTGCATGCTGGGGTAAATCGGATGGGTTCCCAAGGCCTCAGGCAGTCCTATGCCCCAGAGTGTGTTGGCGACAGGTTGGGGTCCAGTGCCTTTGGCTTTCACTGGTTGGCTCCACACGCTGGGGTCTCAAGGGCGGGAGTCCTACTCCCTTGGCCCAACCAGGTACCTTTGTGAAGATCCTCTGAAGCAGGTTCAATTTATTTATGTTTTTTTGTTGTTGTTGTTGTTTTGTTTTGTTTTGTTTTTGGTACTGATAGAGTTATTTCCAAAAGATGAAAAATATTAACAAAAGATGAGAAATATAAAATAAAAAGTGGCCTTTATTCTGAGAACACGGAGAGAGATGACCGGCACCCCCACCGCTGGCGTCCGGCAATCTCTCCGGCGGACAGGCGGCGTGGGGGCCTGTAAATAGCCTCGGTTTGGGGTGGAACCTAAGGCGGGCATTAGGGATACACAGGTAGCCCATTGGTCCTAGGTTTGGCGCCATATGTAAATTCCCAGGGGCGGGAAGATGGCGTCACAGGTAACTTCCTAGGGGCAGGGCAAGATGGGGCTTCCTGCTTCCGGTTGTGGCTTTCCTGGCTACAGTGTCCTGTCTGGGCCAAACCTTTCATATCCCGTCTTATGGTTATTATTATGAAAAGGGGCGAAGATTTCTCTCTTTAACTACTTCCTGCTGGCAAAGGGCGCTGTACTGGAGCCTAGGGGAGTCGACGGGATGAAGGTTGATGCCCAGGTAGACGCTGGTACCAGGTGTTTTGGCCAGGACAGCTTCACTGGTGAATGCACGTATGTCAGACTGAAAAAACAAAGAGACAAGATGTTATGAGGAGACATGGCACTGTCATATTTAAGGACCCAGGTGAGGTAGAAGGAAAGGTGCCTTTGATTTAGACATATCATTCTATCAGGACCATGTTGAGGTAGAAACATTTCCACGGTGAGGCAGAATTCTGAAAATTAAACGTGGGGTTAGGAGGAGTGGAGTTATGAGAGGTGATTACTCCCCCATCTGAAAGCATAAAAGTTAAGACGGTAGGTTGGTGAGGCTTATCTCTGGTATGCATGATGTTGGAGTCTGTAGGCAATACTGCTAAAGAGTCCTGCTGTAAAAATGATCATTAATAGAATGTAAGAAATTAGGAACCAAAGTGGATAACAAAACATGACTTAGCCTGTTAACTGTGGCTGCGAGGCCTTTGTGAGACGGAGACGGGTAGGCAACAGAAGATGAGGTGACCACTCAGAATGATCAGATTTAGGGCTGGAAGGGCACCTCTTAGCCTGAGTGATGTGAAATCAGGATGGCAGTCCAGCAACTTTGATTTGGGCATGGGTTGCTGTATCCTGGTTGTAGTCCTTGGAATGATTTGCTGTAACAGAACTTTAGCAAGTATGAGAAAGGCTTTTATGTCTCCTGAAAAAGTATAAACAAAGTGAGAAGACAAAATGTATCTGTCAGTCTTGACCAGGGTTACCTGAGAAATTGGTGAATAAAATAGGAGGGGGGTGGTCTATATCACTGAGGAAGGGTCCACCAGCAACAACAGGTGGAAGATGTTGAGGCCCAGTGTGTCTAAGTCAGCCTGTATAAAAGGCATTTTAAGATTTAGGACTGGGACCTGCACAAAATAGGCCCTGTTTGTAAATGGCATAGGTTGACCATCAATACCCCATCATAGAGATTGAGGACTTATTATAGCAGCCTGAATACTCAGGAAGAACTCTGTATATATGGCCTCTATGTTCACAAATATAGAGAATGTCTTACCTGAGACTGTAGTGCGACTTGGAATCTGAGACAGACACCTTAAAGGGGGCTGTTGTTGCCCTGAACCCCCTCAGCCTCCAGCAGCGATTTTCTGTCGGTGACGAATCTGGCAGTGTCGACATTTCCTGTGAGGGCTATTACTTAGGATGACTTACCCACTCTCTGGTGGCTAGGACAGTCCAGTAGCCCTGGAGTAAGGTCTCAAAGAACGCCAGCATGGGGCATTTTCTTGCCCAGTATCTTCTGCTGCATTTGAGCGTGGTCCATGGAGGGGGCAGGCAGCTCCACCTTGTGTAGGTTTACCTGTCTCAGAACTCCAAGTGTCACAAGTGTTAAAAATATGAAAAACCATATTAAGATCTCTTTAAGGTTTGAAGGTCAAGTTTTGCCTTTTTGTTTGGGATTTGGACTATAGTAGAATTAAGTAAGTATGCAGGAATTTAATATTGGCATTTTGGATTAGAGAGCAGGCTTTATCTGGATGGCATACCGCTTTTTTTTAATAGGGTGACACGTAGAATTAACAAAGCTTTAATCTGTCTAAAAAGGCTTTAATGGAAACATTTTGTAGTCAAGGTTTAGCAATCTTATGAATAAATCTATCAAAACTGATCTAATACTATCAAATTCTGAACACGTTTACTTTTAAAGTTGTTATTTGCAGTAGTATGAACCAAGACAAACAAAATAAAACTTTAAAGAAAACTCTTGTCTTGAAATAGAGCTAGTGGTTCCCAGCAAAAAGGAATTTATAACCTTAGTTGTTAAACAGGAGATTGGTGAAGGCTTTGATTGATAAACAAGGCTGGTAAAATTATCAGGTGGCCAATAACCTTGATTAAATGGTTTGAGAATTGTAATAAAAAAGCATCTTTTGAGCGGAGCCAAATTGTAAAAAAAGCATGGCTGAGCAGAGCCGCTGAGCTGCTGTTTCGCGGCGCTCCGGCAGAGCACGCCCTGTGGGTGGGGCAAGCGCTGGGATGTAGCGCGCAGGGGCGGGCTCAGACTGCCCCCGGAAACGTGTGAGGTGGCAGGGGCGACGACGACGGTGCACAGGGGAGGGAGGGGCTGGGACGGCGCATGGGGGAGGGGCTGGGAGGCGGCCCGACACAGTGCGCGAAGCTGGAACTGCTTGCAGGGCGCAAGGATTAGAAAGCCAATTTAGGAACACAGCTCGGTTTTGATTAGCTTCCTGGACCTGTTTTAAAAGTTTGTTATAGTTAGTATGCTTGTCCTGCTCTGGCACAGCTATAGGCCCAGAGTCATTATAAACGTCCTTAAAGTGTAAATCATAACAATTAGTAATAAATTTAAATTGCCTGATATAATTATGTGGGTCAACAGAGAGGCTATCTAATTTAAGGGTAATCTGAGATAGATCAGAAAGGGAAAAAGGCACATGGATGTTAACAGGTCCCTTGGGGCCAGCTTGCTCCCGAAGTGGAAGCAGAGCCTGAGGAGATTCCAGAGCAGAGGGCCATTGAGCAGCCATCCGTCCAGTAGGCGCATGTGAGCAATCATCTGTAGAGCGGCTACAGAGCTGCTGCCGGTCACCCTGGGAAACACGAGCAGATGGCGTCTCACTGTGTGCCTTGCAGCTAGAGGACTGCTGTCGGCAGCACAATGAAGCGTCATGTGCACTGCAACAGGACGGCTGTTGTAGTTCACAAGAGGAGCCACAAGGAGACGCCTGTTGACAGTGAAGGCCCTGGAAACATGGCGGCGCCCTGTCACGTGGCCCGAAACATGGCGGTGCCCTGTCGCCATGTGGCCCTCCGGAACATGGCGGCGCCATGCCACATGGCAGAGGGTTGCAACATGGCGACTGTTCCCCGTGCAAGCTGGAACAATCACGCGGCCTGCTGGAAGGACATAGCAACCGAGACCTAGTATGGTGGGCGGGCGGTGAGAATGCTGTAGGGGATACAGAATTCTCAGGAGAAGAAGAAGTCAGAGACTGCGGGGAAGCGCTAACAGAAGGATCAGAGCCGCTGGAAGAGTTATGGGTCCCGGAAGGCAGAGAGGGAGACGATCGCACAGCGGGAGGTATCTGCGACGGAGAGGGATTAGAGCTGCTGAGAGAATCAGGCATAGGGGGAGGGGAGAGCGGTCTGGCGGGAGGTAACGGCAGGGAACGAGTTTGGTGGTAGGCAGGCGGCGGCTGGGAAAACAACGGAGAGCAGAAAGGAAAAGTTTGCGGCGCAGTAGACTTAGTTAAAAGTATCTCAGCTGGAGCACAAGACTTAATGAGAGATGGGCGTGTTCTCAGAATAAGAAAGGCTTGGACATAAGGGAGTTCTAATAACTTGTTGCCAGCTTGACAAAAATCGTACAAGTTCCTGAGAATGCAGGGGTCAAATGTTCCTTTTTTGGGCCAAGGCTTGCCAATAAGCGGGTAGGTTGGCCAGACCTCCTGGCAGTAAAAAGTTAGTTGTTTAGATTTTATGGTACCTTTACTTTTTAGAGTATGTAAATTGGAAATTAGGCATTGTAAAGGCGTCTTTTGGGAGTTAGAAAACACGTTCCCCATGACTGATTCAGGCAAGAAAAAAAACCGGAGGTCCAGAAAAAAGTCGTCACTTATTTGTGGTACCACGCGGCGGCTACAGTTCCAAACCGTAAACTCCAGTCGTCACTGAGAGATTTACGAATGGAGTCTACGTGGGGTCAGTAACAGTTTTGCCTGTGAAAACGCAAGGCTTTAAGGGAAGTGAGGCATTCTTTCAGTGTGGGCGGTCCCAAAAATCTCTGCTTTGGGCTATCCGAACCCAAAGAACGTGAGAGATTTTGTGGGCGCAGGTTTGCCCAGAAAGAACCCTGCCCTGGGCGGTCCTAAGGACGTGAAAATGCACAGACCCACGCAGACGGGGAGAACATTCCACTGGGGCTGCCCAGTGCGAAAAGTTCCCCGGGGAGTGCTCACCTGAAATCAGTCTGGCCGATGCGGAGTGCAGGCGGCTGGCGACAGGAACGTCTCGGGAGAAGAAAAAGCTCGGGATTAATCCAGGATGTTATCTGGTTATCGGCGAGGAAACTCTGGGTATGTGGCCCAAGAGTCAGTTGCCTGCCGATCCGAGTCACGGCACCAAATGATAGAGTTATTTCCAAAAGATGAAAAATATTAACAAAAGATGAGAAATATAAAATAAAAAGCGGCCTTTATTCTGAGAACACGGAGAGAGATGACCGGCACCCCCACCGCTGGCGTCCGGCAATCTCTCCGGCGGACACGCGGTGTGGGGGCCTGTAAATAGCCTCGGTTTGGGGTGGAACCTACGGCGGGCATTAGGGATACACAGGTAGCCCATTGGTCCTAGGTTTGGCGCCATATGTAAATTCCCAGGGGCGGGAAGATGGCGTCACAGGTAACTTCCTAGGGGCAGGGCAAGATGGGGCTTCCTGCTTCCGGTTGTGGCTTTCCTGGCTACAGTGTCCTGTCTGGGCCAAACCTTTCAGGTACCAGGGATTGAACTCATAACCTTGTGCTTGCCAGGCAGGCGTTTATGCCACTGAGCTAAATCCCTGGCAGCACATTCAGTTTAAAGTACAAGCCTCTGCCTGCCCACCCAGGCTTTCCTATAACATCTCAGTGGGAGCATTATGCCCATATACCTCTTGCATCTGTATGCAAGCCCAATCACCACCATCTAGATGCACCAGGGTCTGCTGATTGCTCCCTGCAGAGTGGTGACATAAGACATACTAGACCCACCTCCCAAAAAATAATGAGAAAAGGATTTGAGAAAAATGGAAACAAAGTTTTTTGTAAATGGGAAAAGGAGAAGGGATTTAAAGATAGTAGAGGAACAAGAAAAAAAAATAAAGGAACAAGTTATATCATGTACAGGTACAAATCCCCTATGATGAATGTGATCATTATGTATAACTAAAATGTACTAATACAATCTGATAAAAAAAAAAAAAGACACACTAGACCCAACTGAACCACAGATACAGCATGCTTCACCAGAACACAGGAAGCTCAATCCCAAGGCATCCCTGGGCAGCAAATCTGTGAAGACTGCCCCAGATTTGTCCCCCAAAAACATTCAGTCCTCCAGGTCTTTGGCCTTAAAATGAGAGTTGGACTTGCAGATTCTGAAATGCCCAGAACCTATCTTTATCTTGATACAGAGATAGCTGAGCCTTGCCCCTATGTGTGTTTTTTTTTAATTTTCTCCAGGCTAGGCTTTGAATTCACCAAATCTTTCCATTCTGCTTCCCTTTACCCCTGAATCTGAGTATAAACCAAAGTAACCAAATAGCAACATGAAGGCCAGGATTATAGGCGGTGCACACCTATAATCCAAACATTCAAGAGCCTGGGGCATAGCAAGTTCAAGGCCAGCCTGGACTACAAAGTGAGTTCAAGGCCTGTTTGAACTGCACAGTGAAAGCCCGTCTCAAAAAGACAAAAAACAGGGGCTGGAGGTTTAGCTCAGAGGCATAAGCGCCTGCCTTGTAAGCAGGCAGTCATGAATTTGATCCCCGGTACCAATAAAAAGGAAAAAAACCAATTCCAAACGGCATCATGAGTATTTTCAAAAATTCCTTTAGTTTTTTATCACTCTGAAATTTGACCCTCAATAAGCTATGGGCACAAATACAACACAGTAGCAAAGTTCTTTACAATGGGGTGACAAAGTACCCTTGTTTACTTTGGTCAATCAAACAGTTCAAGAAATACTGTTGATTTTTTTTTTTTTTGGTCTTTTTCGTTTTTATCGGTACCAGGGATCAAACTCACGACCGCACGCTTGCAAGGCAGGCGCTTGTGCAGCTGAGCTAAATCCCCAGCCCCATACGGTTGATATTTTGATAAACTTCCCTGTTAGGGCTACTCTTATTGCGTCTACAGGTCATCTCACCAAAATTTCCTATAAGTCTATTTGCAACATTCCAGCTTTTTCTAGCCTGCTTCTCCAAATTCTTCCAACCTCTGCCATTATCCAGTTCCAAAGCTACTTCCACATTTTGAGGGTACCATTGATGTAAGTTAATGAACAATATAGGAATCTAAGCAGCCTAATTGATAAATTTGGAATTTTATTAGCTAAGTTCAGCAACCACTCGCATATAGACCCCTGTTTCAGAGTTCCCCCAAGTGGTGCCGAACTGGAAAGTTACAGAGCTTTTAAAACAGAAAACCACAAAAAAAGACATTCTGTTGGAAACAGTTTAGCTTAGAATCTTACATTAATTTTTGGTTGACGCCTGTATCCTGCTTCTTTGTTGAGCAGGTTAATTTTTCTCTTGTAGGTGCAGCTCGTTGTGCTTTTCTCATGGGACAGCACTCTTAAGTAATTTTTCACTCTTCTGGGTCAAATACAGGGCACAAGATGGCATTAGTTATGCCAACCTGCAACATACCTTTGTAACAACTACACTATTCTCAGTACCAATCCTCTCTTTTGATCCTTTTTTTTTTTTTTTTTTTTTTTTTTTTTTTTTTTTTGTCTTTTTCCTTTTTATCAGTACCGGGATCGAACTCACGACTGCCTGCTTGCAAGGCAGGCGCTTATGCTGCCGAGCTAAATCCCCAGCCCCTCTTTTGATCCATTTTGTGTTGCTATAACGTAATGTCTCAGGCTTGGTAATTTATGAAGAAATAATGGTTTCAAGCTCACAGTTCTGGAGATTCAAGAACATAGGACCGCCATCTGTTCGACCCTGGTGAGGGCCTCCTGGTGGACAGCATCACAATCCCAGCACTACAGACGAAAAAGCAAGAAGTACACACAGGAGGACTCAGGGGAGGTCCAAGGGTCCCTTATACAAACTATTCTTAAGACAGTCCAGTCTCATAAAACTTGCATTACTCTCTTCTGATAATGGTTTCTCCCACAACCTCACTACTTTTTACTAGGCCAGTGGTGGTGAACCTTGGGCACACTGCTGCAAGAGGCAGACACAGTGTTCTCTGTTGGCACACCAGTCACCCTAGCTGCCAAGCCCTGGATGACTAAAGCCTCAGTATTCGGATTTAATTGCAGTCTTGGCACTTTTCCATAAATGAGTTTTGGGTTGCATTTGGGCACTTGGTAACTGGAAGGTTCACTATCACTGCACTAGGTATTAGGTCGGGGGACCTAAGAGCCAGCACAGTCATGGCAACAGTTCAAAGCTGTGCCCCGATAATGTACACCTCCTCCCCAGAAGCCCATATGGCTTCTCCCTCCCGAAAGTCTGTGCCAAAGCTCAAGCATGTAAAGGTTTACCCACCCCCCTGCACTCTCACAAAATAAATCAGCTCACATCAGTCCCCAGAGCCCTTCCCCATCAGAGCCTGTATCAGGCAGAATCTGCCCTTTGTCTGCAAGAAGCCACCACAGCCTTCTGTGTGGCAACTCCCACTGTGTCCCCCCATTAAACTCTTTCTTATCTACTTGCCTCCTCTCTTTAATATTCTGCATTGCTCTAGATTGAGTACAAATCACTCAATCACTAAGTCCTACCTTTTTTTGTATTAAAGACAGGGTCTCACTTTGTAGTTCAGACTGGCTTTGAACTCACTATGTAGCCCAGGCTGGCCTTAAACTTACGACAACCCACTTGCCTCAGCCTCCCAAGTACTTGGATTATAGACATGTGACACCATGCCCCGACTAGTAATTTTTGAAGGTAAACTTCCTCAACACTGCCATACTGGGTGCCTGACTTCCACTACATGAACCTCTTGGGGTTCAAACCACATTCAAACCATGGCATATTAGCATAAGGATAAGTATACAGAAAGGGTTACAACACAAAGCTCAGATAAACCCTTACATATATAATCAACAGATCTTTGACAAGGGTGTCCAGACTACTTGTTATGTACTGTTTGTATCCCCCATAGCCATACAACTGTTTTTGGAGAGGCCAGTGAGGAGGTAGTAAAGATTAAATGAGGTCTCTGGCACAGTAGCACATGCCTGTAATCTTAGCCCTCTGGGGAGGCTGAGGCAGGAAGAGCGCAAGTTCACGCCCAGCCTGGGGAATTTAGAAAGATCCTATCTCAAAATTTAAAAAAAAAAAAAAAAATCAAATGAGGGCATGGCCCTCATCCAACGGGGCTTGCTCTTATAAAAGGAAAACATAACAGAAATCTCCCTCTCTCAGCCATGTGAGGACAAGGCAGGAAGGTAGCTACGAGCAGGAAGAGAACCCTCACTATGAGCTGAACAGGCTGGCGCCTTCGTCTTGGGCTTCTAAGCCTCCAAAACAATGAGAAGTAAATTTCTGTTGTTTAAGCCACTCAATCTGGTATTTTGTTGTGGCAGCACAAGCTGACTACCATACCATTCAATTCGGAAAGCCTATTCAAACACTGGTAGAAAAACTGAACATTTACATTCAAAAGAATGAAGTCAAACTCTTCTTACACCATATACAAAATTCAGCTCAAAATTACCAAAGACCAACTGAGACTCACAACTATAAAATTCTTTGAAGAAAAACTGTCATTATCTTGAACTTGGCAATGATTTCTTGCATATGACACCCAAAGCACAAGAACAAAGAACAAACAGATGAATCCAACTTCAAAATTAAAGATTCCGGCTGAGCATGGTGGCACTGCACTTTGGAGGACAAGATAGGGAGGGGGATTGCAAGCTCAAGACCAGCCTGGACAGTTCAGCAAGAGTCCGTCACAAATGAAAAATATCTGAGGCTGTAGCTCAGTGTAAAGGCTCTGGATTCTATTCCCAGTACTAAAAAGAAAACTGAAACTTTCATACATCAAAGGACACCATCGTAAGTGAAAGACCACACACAAATGGGAGAAATATTTGCAAATTGTGTGTATGTTAAGGAATAAATACCCAAAATATATAAAGAACTTCCAGAATTCAATAATAAAAATAAAAATAAAATTCTATTTCAAACTGGGCAGAGCTAGGTGTGGGGGCACACCCATGTAATCCTAGCACTCTGAGAGATTTCGATAGGAGCATAAATTCAAGCTTAGCCTGAGTAACTCAATGACTCAGTGAGACCCCTTTTAAAACAAAAAATTCAGTAAGAAAAAAGGTGGGGACTGGGGATTTAGGTCAGTTGTTTAAGCACCTACCTGGCAAGCATGAGGTCATGAGTTCGATCTCCAGTACCAAAAAGAAAAAGAAAAAAAGATGAAGGTTTCAAATGGACATTTTTTTCAAATAAAATATAAAAATGGTCAAGAAAACCCTGAAAATATATTCATCATTATTTTCTGTTAAACTGAAATGCAGGGGGCTGGGGGTTTAGCTCAGTGGCATAAGCACCTGCCTTGCAAGCAGGCAGTCATGAGTTCGATCCCTGGTACCGATAAAAATGAAAAAGACAAAAAAAAAAAAAAAACTGAAATGCAAATAAAAACCACAATATCACTTCATACCTATTAGAATGCCTATTATCTTTTTTTTTTTTTTTGTCTTTTTCATTTTTATCGGTACCAGGGATCGAACTCACGACCACCTGCTTGCAAGGCAGATGCTTATGTCGCTGAGCTAAATCCCCAGCCCCTAGAATGCCTATTATCAAAAAAAGATATACTGGAGATGATGTAAAAAAAACTAGAACCCTTGTGGGGACTTAAGTGCAGTTGCTATGGAAAACTTGGGCTACTTCTCAGAAAGTTAGATAATTGCTATATGATTCAATTATTTTATTCTTATTTACCCAAAAGTGCTTAAAGACAGAACTCAAACATGTACTTGTATATCAACATCCATTCTAACATTACCCACAGCAATAGATACATGGCTAAGATGTGGTACAGACAGTGGAATGTTATCTGTCTGTGAAGGAGTGGAATTCTGACACAGGCCATAATATGGTCAAAACTGAACTAAGCTAGACATAAAAGGTCATATGACTCCAAATAGGCAAATTCGTAGAAAACAGAATTGAGGTTAGCAGCACCTGGGATAAAGGGAAACAGGAGTTAATAAGCGTTTCTGTTTAAGATAATAAAATAGTTCTAAATTAATAAATAAAATAGTTCTGAAAATAATGATGGTTATAGGATACTTTGAATGTGTCTAATGTCACCAAGCTGTACACTTTAAAATGGAAAAAGTGGTAAATTTTGCTATGTATATTTTACCATAATAAAAAAGAGCAGTATCAACTCTGTTAAGTGACATGGAAAGGGGAGAATGACATGTTTGTTTTATTTACAACACAAAAGAAATACAGCCACATGTGGGGTTCTCTACAGTGCGAAATTTTGGTACTAAAGAAACAGGAAGGGTGAAGGTATTAGCTGCTGCGGTGACATGCATAAGAATGTGTTCTCTGTCTCTTTCCCTTTGTTTTATTTTTTGAGACAAAGGCTCACCATGTCACTCATGCTGGTCTTGACCTCCTAAGCTCAAGCAGTCGTCCTGCCTGAGCCTCCCAAGTGCGGGCTCTACAGCTAACACACCGGGCAGGGTTTTCTTCCTAAAATGCTCTTCAGTGTCTCTGAAAGGAAACATACTCTACATTAGAAGCATGAATCCTCTTTTCCTAAGTGGGAAAACTACAGAAGCCTCTATTTTGTGCAGTTTTATGTTTCTTTAAAAAGAATATGCACTCCCTTTGGTTTAAGAAAAGAGCTTTCTTTTTTTTTTTTTTTTTTGTCTTTTTCCTTTTTATCAGTACCGGGGATGGAACTCACGACTGCCTGCTTACAAGCCAGCCGCTTATGCTGCTGAGCTAAATCCCCAGGCCCTGAAAAGAGCTTTCTTTAATTAGACAGAAACCCCATTTCACCCTGTGGAAATGGGGCGAACAGTTAGCACACCAGGACTCTGCCCTCACAGGTGCGCCTGCATGGTCGTGGAGAGAAGTCTTTCCGGAGGTGGATCCTCTGGTGCTGCACATGTTGGAAGTGTGCCGGAAGCTCTTCCCACATTTGCTGCACTTGTAGGCCTTTTCTCGGGTATGGATTCTCTGGTGTTGAACCAGGTAAGTGCTTTGGCTGAAGGCTTTCTTGCAATCACTACATTTGTAGGGCTTCTCTCCATGGTGTGAGCGCTGGTGGTGAATGAGCCTAGAGCTGTTGTGGAAGCCCTTCCCACAGTCACTGCACTTGCAGGCTTCTCCCCTGTGTGGCTCCGCTGGAGCTGGATGAGGTGTGTACTCTGGCTGAAGACTTTGCCACAGTTGCGACACTCATAGGGCTTCTCTCCAGTGTGGCTTCTCTGATGTTCAACAAGCTTGGTTTTCTGGATGAAGGCTTTCTCACATTCATTATATTTATACGGTTTTTCTCCAGTGTGAATTCTCTGATATTGGATGACGTTGGAACTCTGAGTAAAGCCTTTGCCACATTCTTTACACTCAAATGGCTTCTCTCCAGTGTGAGTCTGTCGATGCCGAATAAGGATAGAGCCATCACTGAAGGCTTTTCCACAGTCATTACATTTGTAGGGTTTCTCTCCAGTGTGTATTCTCTGGTGATAAATGAGAGAAGAGTAGGCACTAAAGTGTTTACCACACTCAGAGCACTTATAGGGCTTCTCTCCAGTGTGAATCCTTTGATGCTTCATGAGGTTGGGCCTCTGACTGAACATCTTCCCACATTCCCCACACCGGCAGGGAATCTCACCAGCGTGCATCCTTGGGGGGGGGGGGTGATGAACTCACAGCTCTGGCTGAAGGCTTTGCCACATTCACCACACTTGTAGAGCTTCTCCTCACTGTGAAGCCACTGGTGCTTGATAAGGTTAGCACTATACCTGAATGACTTCCCACAGTGGCCACAATAGTGCAACCTTTTCCCAGCAGGAATTTTCTGATCTCCCTTAACAACTAAGTTTGCCTTGAAGAACTCTCCAGAATTATGAATGGTATTTAGTTTTTTTGACCTATGCACACGCTTATGGTTGTTAAGATACGATCTCTGCTCAAAACTTTGCTCACATATATCACATTTGTGAGGCCTCTGATCAGAGAAAGAGTCTAACCCCAACCTGAGGCTTCCCCCAGTGTGTTGGCTGCTTGCCTCGTTGGTCAGTGTGCTTGGCCTAGGGCCTGTCTGCCACACAGGATTATCCAAACCCCTCTTTGGTGCATTGAAACAGCCATGGTTTTCTTCTGGTTCCACTTTCTGGTGAACAGTACCCAAAGGCTGGTGCAGTTCTTGTCCATTAACTGTCTTCTTCGAAGCCATCTCTGTGTGCTCAATCCTGGGCCCACGAGCTGAAACAAATAAACACCCAAGGGTGACCTGTTCTGACCCTGGAAGGAAGATATAAAGATGCTGATGATCCCAGGGGATATCAGGTCAGTCATTTTCAAAGTCACAACAGCCTCTCAGAAATTCAGCTTGGAGCTCAGAGGCTTAAGACCTTGCCCAGGGCCACAGTCAGTGTGGCAGTGTGAGCCCCTATCCTGAGTGATACTGTAGGACACCTGTCCCTAAGAAGACAAAGCCTTCACAGCTCCATAGAAACCAAAGCAAGCAGGGAAAGTCATAGACAACAACCAATGGTGACACTAAGGCCAAGTGAGTCTGAGGCCACCCAAAATACAATGGCAGGAAAATCGGCTGCGTCCCTGGGAGGGCAGAGGGCCAGGCTGTGCCAGCCTGCAAAAGGAAGGCACAGCACATGTAGGCCAGGCCCCATGACTCTCCTTAGTGGTGCACATTTACTCCTGGGGCTTTCCCTGGAGTCTGGGGGCTACATTAGGACACCTACATAGAAGGCTCTCTGATGCTTTCAAAATCCTACCCCTTCCTTCCTCCTTCCCCAGTACACTCTGAGCTCTCCTGGTAGTTACTCCCCAAAAGTGGACATGGTCAAGCACCACACAGGGTCCTGCCATAAGGGCCCCTCAGAGCCCGCTGCCATCCTCTGCACTGACCAGCTCTGGCTGCCACTTCCTGGGTGAATGATCTGAGGCAACCTATTTAACTTTCTGAACCTCAGTTTCCCCATCTGAAAAGCAGGATATGCCAGGTGCTACCATAAAGCTCTCTCACAAGAGTTAACATGGATAAGCTGGGCGTGGTGGCTCACACCTCTAATCCCAGCAATCGGGAGGCTGAGGTGGGAGGACCATTGCGAGTTCGAGACCAGCCTGGGCTACAAAGTGAGCTCGAGGCCAGCCTGAACTGCATAGTGAGACCCCATTTCAAAACAGACAAAAAAAAAAGAGTTAACATGGAGTTAAATAACAGACTGACCACCAAACATTCAGCCCCGTGGCCAACACAGTGAATCTCAGATGCTTCCACTTCCATCTTCCTTTCTCAGTCCTTAGAGGATTGCTTTCCACATCTGCCCAGCCTCCCCTCTGCATGTCCGTAGCAACTCATGTGTGTCTGCAAGACTGCAACTGGTTGTGTCAACTGCTACAAGAATACACATGAGCTGCGCCCCTGAAGGGTAGTTTGGCAGCATTGCCTAAAGCTAATCTGTGCATCCTGTGACCCAGAAACTCCACTCCCACGTACATAGTCATGAGAAACAGTCCCTCTGTGCCACACAGAGATGTGCACAAGATCCCCAAACTGGGACCAAATGTCCTCTCCAAGTAAAGGGGAAAATAAATTCTAGCACAGTTCTATGATAGAACACTGGTAAAACAGACCCAACTGCTGCTGTGGGAAACACAAGCACCTCACACAAGGCTCAGCAGAAAATCCTCTGCATGAATCCAGACAAACAGACAAAGATAGCAAAGCAGCCTCTTGTGAGCTTTGTAGGGAGCAATGAAAAATGGCACCGGCCCAAGGGCTCTGAGGGCCTGGACAGAGCCTACATGTTAATGTGGAGGAGAGTTAGTCATAAAAATTCACTGAAGCTTTGTCTCATTTCTATTAAGTATATTCAAATAAACAAATGTAGCTATTGTGGCTTTCCTTCACAATAGCCTGCTGCTTTCTCCGGGCGTCCTTTTATCTGGCTTTTTTTCCGTTTTGACTCAGCCCAAGCTTGCTCTGCACAGCCAGTTTCTCCTTCACTCTTCACTTTTACTTTCTCAAAGAAAACTTGCCACGGCTTTTTTGCTCAAACGAAGAAAAAACAAATTTACAAAGGAAAATAAATCCTTTGAGCCAGGAGCACCTTCCTAGGACAACAGACACAAGCAAAAAGCTACCATGGCAGCAAGAGAAGACGGGACTTTTTGGCTGGCACTTCCCCAGAAGGTGCACAAAAGTGGAAACACGATCAGTGGCACACCAGGGCACACAGGTCTCTGTTAGTAAGAAGCACTCCTTGGTGCTGGGTGTAACTCACTGGTAGGGCACTGCCTGACATACACAGATATACACGTGCGTACACACGAAATGGTGTTCATATACAGGTGTGGAAAAGTCATCACCAAAAAGGAACAACAGGAAATAATCTTTTTTCCTTTTCTTATTTTTATTTTTATTTATTTATTTATTTATTTTTGGTCTTTTTTTGAGACAGGGTCTCGCTGTGCAGTTCAGACTGGCCATGAGCTCACTTTGTAGCCCAGGCTGGTCTCGAACTCACAACAATCCTTTGCCTCAGCCTCCCGAGTGCTGGGATTACAGGCATGAGCCATCATGCCCAGCCTTTTTTTTCTCTTCTTCTTCTCTTTTTTTAAGACAGGGTCTCTGGGGGCTAGGGATTTAGCTCAGCGGCATAAGCACCTGCCTTGCAAGCAGGCGGTCGTGAGTTCGATCCCCGGTATCGATAAAAATGAAAAAGACAAATGAAAAAGACAAAAAAAAAAAAAAAAGACAGGGTCTCTCTATGTAGTCCCGGCTGGCCTTGAACTCACTACATAGCCCAGGCTAGACTTGAATTCACAGTGATCCTCCTGACTCAGCCTTTAGACTGCTGGGATTACAGGCATTCATCACACCTGGCAGGGAGTATTCTAGAATACCATTGTGTCTGCACAGTGTGATTCACAGTGATCTTTCTTCTCCTGCTTTCCCATAATGGCCTGTAGTTGTCAAGAGAGCTTATTGAGATGCAGGTAGAAAAAGAAGGGGAGTGACATGATGGTTCCCATCACACACCCCTGCCATACCGTCTTTGCAGCACAGCTTTGAGAACAGGATTCCGTGAGGTTTCCCATGCCCAAGCCTCCCCTCACAGCACTGTGGCCTGCACCCATGGACCACACTTTAGACTAACACTGTCTGAGGTGCCCTTCCCTGTCCTCTGCAGCAGTCTCCACATCCTTCCTAGAAGCTGCTACTTAAGAATCTCCTGCCAAGGCACCAAGGCTGCCCAAGGCGACCCTGACACCAGCACACCTCACACTCCAGACTGGTCTATACAAATTTCCTCAAATTCCTGAACAAGGTCATTAACCAGACACCATGACGCCCAACGAATGTCCACTTAGTGACAGAACTGGGGAGCGGCTTCCCTCACGCACCTGAGCTGCTGACTCTCAGAGGCCTCCTTCCCTCAGTTTCCTTCGTGTTCAGGACCCACGGCTCATCCCCTCGCTCCAGCTGCAAGATCACCCCAGGCTTGGGACCTGCAGATCCTGCTCCTGGGAAGGAGACAGAGCCTGGGGTTGGTGCCAAGGACACAGAGCTGTGTTGGGTGCCACCTTGCTCTGAGGATGCAGGGCAGGGAGCACAGGCAAAAGGTATGAAAGCCCAGATACTCTCTGGAGGGGCTGGAGGTAGGCTGGAGGTCGTCATGAGAATAGAAGCCTGAGAACAGGAACAGAGCTCAGGAGTGCTATGCATCAGAAGCCAAGCTTCTCAAACAAGGGTCTGTCTCAGCCCAAGGCAAGAGGTCAGAGACAAGGGGGGTTACTTAGGACAGCCTGTGCACCACCCACCGTCTTCTATGACTGGGTCTGCCTGGGTAGCGTTGCCATCTGTGGGCCCAAAGAGTGAAGCTCTAATTCAATTTACCAGTGAGCCCACAACCCCAGGACATTCCCATGCTAAAGGCTGCTCAGGAGCCTTACCAAGAAAGACCAGGTTCCTGTAGGTCTCTAGAATCACACCCCTGTAGAGGCCCCTCTGAGCAGGACCTAGACATCCCCACTCGTCCTGGGAAAGCAGCACAGCCACATCCTCGAAGGTCACCTGGGCCTGGAATAACAGGACTCTGCTGCAGAACCTGGAGTGGCTCCCGGGCACCCGGGAGCAAGGAGAACGGACGGAAGCTGAAGGCAACAGCAGAACTCCAGAGCCACCCACCCTCCCTCTGATGTCAGCACCCCAGACCAGATGGTTGACAGTGTTTGCCAGGGAAATCCCTGGTTGACACAAATTTCACTTTGATGAAATTTGAGAACACCTACCTGGAGCAAGGCAGATGGGAACAAAGCTGCCATCACGTGTGCCCTGGGCTTTCAGGGCAGTGCACAGGAGCCTGTCATTCAGGGGCTGAGGGAAGAAAAAAGGACACCTGGAAGTTGGCCATGGTAGTCCCAGCACTCAGGAGACTGAGGGAGCAAGATAATAAGTTTCAGTCCAGCTGGACAACTAAGTGACTGAGACCTGGTATCAAAATAAAAAGGCCTGCTGGGCATGGCTCACGCTTGTAATCCCAGCACTCAGGAGGCTGAGGTGAGAGGATCGTTGTGAGTTCGAGACCAGCCTGGGCTACAAAGTGAGCTCAAGGCCAGCCTGAACTACATAGGGTGACCCTGTCTCAAAAAGACCAAAAAAAAAAAAAAGAAAATAAAAAAGGTCTGGAGATGTGGTATGAAGGCCTAGGGTTAATCCCCAGTAACAGGAACAGATACACACACACACACACACACTTAAGAAAAAGGTCTATGGCAACAATTTTAGTTTTGGTTAGTGTTTAGCTGGTATCTCCTCACTCTATTCAGCATTCCTGTGTTACTTTATTTTATGGCAAATAGGTACATTGTAACTAAGTGGGAAGTCCTGTGCTTCTAGAGAATCTAATCTTATTTCTTACTTTACTCATTTATTTGGACTTACACTCATTTTGTGTTTGTTGTAGGCTATACAGTCTTTGCCCTACACCTTTTATAGTCATTTTTAAAAATCTTTTTTCTGGCCCTTAATGTTGTATGTGTGTGTGCGTGTGCACTGAGGCCAAAATCTAGGGCTTCCGGCTTGCTAGGTAAGTTCTACCACTGAGTTAGATCCCAGCCCCTGCCTTTATTATTTATATAAAGTAAACATGTATTGTTTTTGTCCTGAATGAGACAACTTAGTGAGCCCAGGAGAAGGACAGGGGGCTGTGGGGATGATCACATGGCAGGCAGGCCCAGGGAGAGCGGGGTCTACATCTACACCTGAAAGTGCCCAGCAGGGATAGACAGGAGCCCTGGACGGCAGGTAGGGCTGCTTATGGTAGCCACAAGCAGCCTAAGATACAGAAGTGGGGGCCAGGTTGGTCTTTCATGTGTCCCCTGCCCCTTTCCTTTCTGAGACAGTCTTACTGTGTAGTCCAAAGGATTTTTGTTGAAATAGAAAATTTATGTTGAAAAGTTGACAAGTCAACTGTATACAGCTTGATGGACAATCACAAACTGCCCCACATGCAGGGTCAGCATCAGGGTCAAGAAAAAACAAGATCTGTTGCCAGATGTCTCCAGCCTTAGTCACTATCACCAGCCCAGCCTGAGAAACACCAAACTAGTTACACACAGAGGTATACACCAAAGAGGAACTGTCAAGTCCTCCTCTGAAATGAGCTCTTTTACATACTTCTCTCAGAAATGATGGGTCAACTAGAGAACTCATACTTTTAACAGAGAATACAAGTTTTTTCAACATATGCATTGAGTATCTCTACAAAAAAAATTCCATGTACCAGACAGTGTCAGGAAATTCCGAAAAAAATAAAACTATCTCAATATTGGTTCTTTGAAAATGCTAATAAAATACACAAACAGATGTCAAGTCCAATCAAAGGAAGAAGAAGAGATGGAAAAATAATACTATTAGGAACAACAATAAACAAACAAAAACAAGATGTAAAATAAGACACTATACAGCAGTAGTTCTCTGAGTGTGACCCCGGGACCCTGCAGTCCCATGTTCTCAACCTACGTTCATGTCAACACTGAAATGACATCACCAAAGCACTTGTGAGAGAGCCAGTGACAAGACAGGAACACTCACTCAGTATCTGAGCCAGTGCAGTAAGTCTTAGAAAAAGGAAATACAAGCTAAAAGGATTGAAAAAGAAAAGACAAAAACACCACTATTTGAGAATAAATAAAATAATATTTTAATATTACTAAATATCACTGAATTTCAAGTAAAGTAATTTTAATATTTGAGTGGCAAACGTGAGGTCATGAGTTTGATCCCTGGTACCAAAACAAAAACAAAATAAAAAACCCACTACACAGTTGTGCATTTGATCCCCGGTACAAAAAAAAACCACTAAAAACTGCCATTCACAACAGCTTCAAAGATCACTCAGTAACCAAAACAAAGTTTAATGAAAAGATATGTATAGCCAGGCATAATGGTACGTTTATAATCCTAACTATTCAGGAAGCTGAGGCAGGTGGATCATTTGAGCCAAGGAATTTAAAAGCCAGGGCAACATAATGAGACTCTTGTCTCAAGGGGGAAAAAAGTACTCTATGGACAAAAATTTATTGAAGGACCTAAAAAGCCTATGGGCAAATTAAAACTGGACATAGTGGCACAGACCTATAATCCCAGCACTTGGGAAGCTGAAGCAGAAGAATCTCCATGAAGTCAGAGACACCCCGGAGTACGTAAGTGAACTTATGGCCAGCCTGCACTACTTAGCAAGACCCTGTCTCAAAAAAAAAAAAAAAAAAAAAAAAAAATCATAACTACAAGTAACATAAAAATCCCAAATCTGCTTAAATCTATCCTGTGTAATTACACCAAAAATGTTAACATGAAATGGGACCATGATTCTAAATATCACATTACAGGATAATAATCCAGGATTAGTCAAGACAGTGACAAAAAGCCCCTAAAAAGGAAGCTGGGCACGGTGGTACACATCCATAATTCCAGCACTCTGAGAAGCTGAGGCAGGAGTACCACAAATTTGAGCCCAACCTGGCCAATTTAACAACACAGAGCAAGATCTTGCCATCAAAAAAAAAAAAAAGGTAGAAATACAGGAAAAAGATATTGAAAGAGATCCACACATATCTTACAATGGAAGATATATTAATCAATAAATAGTGTTGGCACACTGTTTATTATTGTTCCTGTTTGTTTTATTTTTTAAATAGTGTCTCACTTTGTAGTTCAGGTTGGCCTTAAACTCCCACGGATGCTCTGCTTCAGCCTCCCAAATGCTTGGATTATAGGAGTGTGCCACTATGCCTAGCAAAATAACTGTTTTTCATAGAAAAATTAGATCCCTGTCTTCTATGGTATTTAAATAAGTTTTTTAAAAGTTTACATAGGAACCAGGTGTCATGGTGCATTCCTGTAACTCCAGCACTTTGGAGGCTGAGGCAGAAAGATCTGGAGTTGAAAACCATCCTGGACGACAGTGAGACTCTTCTCAAAAAATAAACCAACTAAACAAACAAACAAACACATGAACTTATCAATGTGAAGCAGATAGCACAAGTTACAAGGTCAAGTAACACTGTCAGACATAGAATATCTATACTCTATGTAGATGTGTACAGAAAAATGGTGGGCTGAAAGGATAATGGTCATAATAGGTCTCTAAGGAAACCGATAAGACTGGAGCCTTGTATCTAAGCGAGGTTTAATTTAATAATGCTTTCTTTAAAAAGAAAAAAAAATTTGGCACAATGAAAACTAGCAATCCCAGTCGCTGTGGTGTTTCTTTCATTTTCTGCACTTGCAAATATAAACACTTCAGACGCTGAAAATGAGAATCAAACATGGGGAGAAAAGCCTTGGAGAGCCAGCAGAGCACAGGACGGGCGAAGAAGGGAGGGGACGCGATGCAGGCGGTGAGGAGAAGGGGGAGGCAGGTGGAGAACTGGGAGTGAACAGCACAGAGCGGAACACGTGGGGGCCCCACGAGTGGGCAGAGGGGCTGCCAGGAGGAAGCGATCACGGCCTCCCGGGCGCGGGTGCGCGCTGAACCCGAGGGGTACAGTAAGGGGACAACCCTGGTGTAGGCAAACCGGAGGGGAACTACCGGAGGATAAAGCTGTCAGTCTGGGGTGGCGAGGCAGACCTGACCTGCTGCCACGGGAGAACCAGGTAACCTGGACGGTCGTCCGCAGGATACGCAAGACGCGCGCCACACTCATCTCAGCACCGCCGCGCAGCGGACGCCCGCGACCATCTCACTGGCTGCCAATCAAGACTAAAATGGAAGTGATGTCATCGAACCCGCCCCGCCGCCGGCCTTACTGGCCTCTCTGCAAGTGTGGTCTTTATGTGGCGTGTGGTTATCTGCCTCCGTGGATGGTGGTAATTGAGGAACCACGCGGAAAGGGAAGAGGATTTGAAACCTAGGTAATGGCCCGCGTATTCCGGACCAAGTCAATGGGTAGTAGTTTATACTAAGCCTTTGTGCCGTACTGGGGATTGAACTCAGAACCTTTGCAGTGAGATGCTCATCGCTACTACCAGTCAGTCACCCAGTTTAGGTTTAATTTGGATCTCCTAGTGTTGAGACACAGGGGTGCACCACCAGGCCCAGATAGTACTTTTTATGATAAACTCTTCCCTTAATGAGCCAGTCAGCATACAGAAGCCTATTGACTGAACCCCTAACTTCTGTGAATGGGGCCCAGCATCCACTCAAAGTGAACCCAGATTTTTGACTGCTTCTGAAGCAAACCATCCCCCATACCTTGGTCCAGGATCCACTTTGCAGGAACTGGAAACCAGCAGCACTTATGACTGGAGTAATCACGTCTAGTGATTTACCAACACCTTCCTTTCAGATGCCCCTCTAAACTTCAGAAAATGTTAACCCACGACCTTTGGGCCACCTAAGTGAAAGTCCCCGGCCTACTGGTGTGGTGAGCACCCAAGGGCAGATGGTGTTCAAACTGGTCACATCTGTCACAACAGGAAGATGTAAGACTAAAGCTCATGTTAAGTAGCAAGCCACTAGCAGCTACAGCAAGTCCCCACACTGTCAAAAGCTCCCGTCTACAGCTTAGTGCAAAACCATCCTGAGGAGACTAGGGAGCATCCTGCCAGCCGCTCTGGCCCAATACAAATGGCATCAGTGATCTGCAGGTCCTGCTCCAACTGGTAGACAAGGGGACTACCTGATCTGATAATTACACCTCTCAGCACATGATTGATACACACCATATGGACAAGCCAAACAAGCCTTCCTGCTTTGCCCTGGGAAGGGAACTAGTCTGTTTTCCTACTGCAGGTTGCTCATGTTTCTCACCTTTTGCTTCTCAGAAAGTCATGCCCCAAACACCCCTGCACCAATATCCCCCGAGCGCAAAAGTCACTGAATTTAGGTTTGGAGTTTTTATTCTTAGTGATCTGTGCTAAAAGGCAGCAAGTATCATGTACCAGCTCTCTGCCATGTAGCCTAGAGCCTTATTTAGACAGGGTTCTAAGGTGATCTGGGACACAGGAAAAACTGCAAGCAGCTATCTGTTCAAAGGTCAGCACCGCTATTGTACAGGGACCTGGGAACAGATTCCCATACAACAGAGCAAGACCTGCCCACCTCAAACTGATCACCACCAAGATAAATCAGACATAACTAAGAGAAAGGTGCATAGAATGCTCCACTACAGAAGTGACAATCTGCCACCCGTGGAATGCAGCCAATGTAGTTATACCCTGCTCTTGTAACCTGCAGGGAGCGAGAGTGGTCAGGTCAGATCGTTCCTTCCATACCCAAAGATCCCTAGCAGACTGGATCTCATGTCAGCACCTGTGGCCAGAACACCCCAGCCAGAAATAAATGTGGTCAGGGATGCCCCATCATTTGAAGAAAGAGGTTGCCAACCAGTCTAAAGACAAACTTTATTGAGCCCCTCAGCTCTAATTCTCTTTCTCTTGCACAGTTTTGGTTCCACGGAGTCGCCCAGTCCTGCGAGCAGCAATAAGACCCACTTTGCGTCCTGCAGGGGCATCTCTACGGATAGTTGAGGGTTTGCCAATGTGCTGGTGGTTACCACCTCCAAAGGGATGCTCCACGGGCTACAGGAAGAAGACAGTGTTATAATAGGAGTTATCCCACCTGCTTTGGGGCAAGATCAAGTTGATATAAAACCACCACCCAAGTGCCAGGCATGGTGACACATGCCAGACTACACAGAGTGACCTTAAGGCCAACATGAACTGCGTAGTGAGACCTTGTCTCTTTCAAAAAACATCTCTAGAAGGCTAGGTAACCCACCCATAAAGCCACTGCACCGAGAATACCCCTCATTTTCTGGGCTACTTACATTCATGGCCACACCGCGTACACGTGGCCAGCAGTTCCTCTTTGCCTTGTATTTGTGGTAGGCTCGGCCAGCCTTCAAAATAGGTTTATCAATTCTGCCCCCACCAGCTACTACACCTGTAAAATGAAGCATGTCAGAGATGGGCACCAAATGCCCTCCAGTGAGAACACACCCAGCTAAGTGAGTGAATCACTCAAAGAATACCACATGCAGCCGGGCGTGGTGGCACATGCCTGTAATCCCAGCACTTGGGAGGCTGAGGCAGGAGGATCGTTGCGAGTTCAAGGACAGCCTAGGCTACAAAGTGAACTCACAGCCAGCCTGAACTGCATAGACCCCATCTCAAAGACAAAAAAAAAAATCATCATATGCATCATGCATCATGCAAGAACCACCAGCCACCACCAGTTTCCACCCTAGGAGGCCTTGCATTCTGTATGCTACCATCACATTTCTTCAAGCTCCATTGGGTAAACAAGCCCAGGCTCTCAACCCTCATCATCATGATGTTGCCTAAATTCAATTACAAAAGCAAAACACCTTCATCACTATGTCTGCAACAACAGACCAAATCTTCTAACCTTTGAAAGTTCCAGGACAACTGATCAAGCCCACTGTATCACAGGTTTGCTTAGTCTGTGAACATAGCTTCAGAATGGACCTTTCGCAAGAACAGATTTAGGAAAGATTCTGTGGGGCTGGGGATTTAGCTCAGCGGCATAAGCACCTGCCTGGCCAAGTGTGAGGTCGTGAGTTCGATCCCAAAAAACAAAAGATTCTATGGTACTGCTCAACAGAACCACTCACTTGATATCGTTTTGAGAAAGTCTCAAATATCTTATCACTTTGTGGCTGAAAAAGTTATTAGTCAATTCAACTATCCTGCCAGCTTTTCAGACAAGGCAACTTCAAACTGCCTGTGCTCAAACTATGGCACAAACAATTCAGTTCCAGGGCTCAAAACTGCCCTATAGTTTGATAACCGAGTCTTCAGCATTAATCATGGAATGGCACTCACCAACAACAGCTCTGTTGGCAGAGGAGATGACCTTCTTGGAACCCGAGGGCAGCTTCACTCTGGTCTTCTTGGTTTCAGGGTTGTGGGAAATGACTGTGGCATAATTGCCAGAGGCTCGGGCCAGCTTGCCCCTGTCTCCAGGCTTCTCCTCCAAGCAGCACACAATGGTCCCCTCAGGCATGGTGCCCACAGGCAGAACATTGCCAATGTTGAGTTGGGCTGTCAGGAAAAGCACCGAACGGTCAGTGCAACCAATGGCAACATAAACCGACTCTTAAGCAGTCCAGAAACAGGCTGAGGTAAATACTGTACAGATTTCTGCAAACCTGAATGGGTACTCCTCTGTCACACGGTCTCCCCAAGAGAGATTTCTGCCCAGAAAGTTCTTACCCAGGCACGGACTGTGCGCTCCTTGAACACCCTGTTACCGCTCCATTTGCTCTCCCTTCCCGACCGCAAGACTCACCCTTTTTGCCGCAGTACACAAATTGGCCCGTGTGGATGCCCTCGGCGGCGATGAACAGCTCCGTACGCTTCTTGAATCGGTACGGATCTCGGAAGACCACCTTAGCGAGCGGTGCGCCGCGGCCCGGGTCGTGGATGATGTCCTATGGGTCGAGACGGCATCAGCGCGGGGCCGAGGCGGGACGCCCCGTTCTCCCACCAGCCCCATCACCTCGCACCTTCACGATCCCCTTGATGTAGCCGTGGCGCTCTGCGAAGTCCACGGCACGTAGCCGAGCAGCTCCCTTGCGATGCTTCACGTGCGCACGAAACACAGAGCCAGCACCCTTCCTCTGTCCACGGATCACGCGGCCCATGACGGCGGGTCTAAGAGAAGCTCGCTGTCAGCGTCTTGCCGTAGAGCCCCGCCGCCGCCCCACGGGTCGCACGCGCCCCCATCAAGGTTGTTCCACGCCCCGTTCCAGGCCGCGCGCCCGCGCTATCTCAGAAGTGTCGCTCAGGTCCCTGGCGAGCCCCATCGTGGCCTAGAGAAGTAGATGGCAACGGATGCTCTCAAGGCCGCAGCACCGAACACAACCTACCTGTTGCCGAACTAGGCCGAAAGAGGAAATGGCGAGTCCACTAGCCCTCTTTTCTTCCGGGGCGGAGTCACAGAAAGCCTCCTTCCGGGAGCAGTGCATGCCGGGATGCGTAGTTCCCCCGCTGCAGTGCAGTTTCCGGGTGGCAGCGGGTTCCTAATGGCCGAGGCAGGGGTTTCTGCTGGTGTAGGGCACGAGGTAGGCTGGGGAGAGGGTCGTGCAGAATCAGGCCTTGTGCTTTGCCAGGCGAGAAGAGTGGGGCCTGGGTGACAATGAGTGTCGCTTCCCACGGTTTGGCGGCTCCGGGACGCGGAGAGGTCGAGAAGAACAGGGAGGAAGTAGGAGTTGTCAAGGAGAAGAGCGTCTCCAAGCCTCCTCTGCCTCTGGAAATGAAGAGGGTCTGCCGGGCAGGGGTGTCTACAGGGCACGTGCTGTAGCGACGGAGAGGGGCCCACCAGGTGAGACCCTGAAAAGCGGAAAAGCAAGGCAGGAAGAGAAGAGGATGAGTTTCTACCAGACGCTGCAAACTGCTGCCACGGTGGCGGCATGAAAAAGGGACAAGAAGAGGAGAGGCGCCATGTAGCAACTTTCTGAAGTCACAGAGGAGCAGAGAGGCTGGCTCATGAGGCCTCAGACAGGCTGCAGTGGGGAGCAATCAAGAAAGAGCCGCTGATGAGAGGTCAGGAGGCCACAGTCCACGGGCAGGACTGTGTCCAAGGAGAGAGAGGGGTTCTGAGGTCCAGAAGGAGACAGACCCGTGGAGACATAAGCTGTGGGTCCCTCGAGATGGTCCTTGGATCCCTGGGATGAGGTGTACTGATGTGGTCGCTAAGTTCTTGGGTGCAACCAGGGAGCCAACTACACAACAAGCAGGTTCACAAGAAAAGGTCTTGACTGTTGTACCCTTCAGTGTCGATGAGTGACACAGCCTCACCTCCATGTGATGTCACCAAGCCTGGCTTGAGGCAGGGATACCGCAGATCTGGGTTAGTGGTGGCCAGTGGGTGGGTCCCACGCTGCCAGGATCCAGCCTTCCCCCACCTGGATTCTCTGTGCTGGTCATGTTTCCCATGCCACCCATTATCAGTTTGTCCCTGCTTTTCAGATTTTGTTATGAAGTGAGGCTTAGTGACACAGTCCTGTAATCCAAGCGCCTTAAGAGGCTGGGGAAGGGGTGTTCCCATTTTGGGATACAGCAATTTAATAGACCCTATCTCAAAACAAATAAAAAGGGCTGGGAATACAGTTTACTGTGAAGACTCTGGATTCAATCCCAGTACCAAATACACACGATACTGTTAGAATTTTTTTTTTTTTTGTCTTTTTCGTTTTTATTGTTACCAGGGATCAAACTCACGACTGCCTGCTTGCAAGGCAGGCGCTTATGCTGCTGAGCTAAATCCCCAGCCCCTTGTGTTTTCTTTAAAAATTAATCTTAATTAGTTCTTGTCTCATACATACATGTAATTTAGTATAAATCCAGTAGCTATTGTCCTGTCTTTTTTGGTTTGACTTCTCTCTCCCTCTAGCATCAGCTGCCCTTATCTTCATCTCCCAAAAGCAGAAATTTGTTGTGTTTCCACCAGGTAATATAATCATAGGCCCTGTAACAAGCCTGCCATCATAGATAGTTAAAATGGGATCATGCAGAATAACAGGAATCATACCAAGTACTCAATATCAGGCAGTCTTTACAGACTAGGAACGGTTTTTAAGTATGTCTAGGTGTTAATCGTATACACTTGGTTTTCCTGATTTGGTGTTCCATTCTGGAGTTATAATTTAGAAAAATGTATTTTCATCAAGATTATCTTGGTTTTCCCAGGTATATTAGGTGTCTGGATTCAAAATTACTTATTCTCACTGGTGGTGCTTTTTGATCAAAGATAAAGCCATAATTTTTTTTTTTGTCTTTTTTTTTGAGATGGGGTCTCGCTATACAGTTCAGGCTGGCCGTGAGCTCACTTTATAGCCCAGGCAGTTCTCGAACTCACAACAATCCTCCCACCTCAGCCTCCCGAGTGCTGGAATTACAGCCGTGAGCCAGCACACCCGGTGATAAAGCCACAATTTAATGGCCAAGTTCAACATTAAATCCCACCTTGTGTGTTACATCATCCCCATCCCTTCTTGACTCCACTTCCTAGATTTTTACCCTCAATTTAGGCTTTAAAAAAAGATACATACATAATAATTTTGGGTGTGTATATGTATGGTACTGGGAATTAAATCCCAGTCCTAGTGCATGCTATGCAAGTACTATATCAATGAGCTATTTCTCCAGTCCTCTTTTTGTTT